TCAAAATAGATGGGGAACATTCCATCATCAGGATTTGAGCCCTAACAGCAGCGTAGGAAGGATTTAAACTCATTAAAAAAAGTCATCACAAACTCCTGCTCCTGATAATCATTCCATGCCTTCATGTTTCCACAATGACAGTTTGGAGCAGGTTGGTAAGTTTTGAGCTCGTCCCAGATTGTTTTCATCTGCGTATAATAGGTGTTGATGTTGAGTGACCCTTGAGCAAGGTTATTCATGCTCTGTTTCAGTTAGTAGATACGTGGTGCATTGCTCTGCTGATAACGAAGCCGCAAATCGGTCCAGATAGATTGTGCATTTTCATGGTATAACAAACTATCAGCTATCTCCCTCGTTATAACATTCAACAACCAAGAAGTTACCATGCTATTACAATGGAACCAAGCTGCGGCAGTGGAATCGGTGTTGCTCGGTTGATCGTAGGTTCTGTCTATGAAACCCAATTTACTTTTGGCGTTCAATGCTATTCTGATTGCTCTCTCCCATGTGTTGTAATTGTTGCCATTGAGAAGGCTGGATACCAAGACCAACCCAGGATGGTCGGCACTATGAAGGAAGAACAGGTTTTGGGAATCATCTGATTGCTCTCTAGCCATTGAAGAATAAATTTTGAAGCTCAATCACTGAGCTAAAAAAAATATTTGATTAATTAATCTGCTCTGATACTATGTTAGAAAGGAGAAGAAAGAGCATAATAAAGAAGAAAATTACTCTGATTTTCTGATCGTATTCACTGACAGCTAAAGAAAATATATGCAGTTTTTGTTGTACAATAGCAGAGAGAAAAGATAAAAACGATTACAATTAACATACTAATTTGATCTTATCACTAATTAATCTTCTAATTAATCTTAATACTCCTCCATTTAGCATAGTTCCGTTTGTAACACCACCATATAACGAAAATATAAGTTCTATTTTCACCTTGGTGTTTCACCTTCCTTTGTCGTGGTCACCGTTGTCTTGGCCCCAATATGTTTTGTTAATTTTCTACTGAACTTCACTAACTACTTCCTTATAGTCCCATATTTCTCAATCTCAAGTTTGTTCCTTTATCAATCACTTTACACTGCTTTTTATATGTGTTGATCTGGGTAGTTGTCCAGATGATCTTATTTCTTATCAAGTCACTAAACAACCTATTGTAGTTCGTTATTTCATTAGAAGTGAGTGTAATGCGGTTTCCAATGCAACATGTGAAGTTTTATGTTTGAAATCTGCATTTCATTATCCCCATTAATATTGACGTTGTTATATCTCACTTTTAATATTGTGTTTGATACACATACAAAACTTATTCACCAAGGCTCTCTCTTGAAATCATTGTTTCACTACATTCAAGACAAGTTTTGCATTTATTCCAAGTCGTGGGGGAAAGGGGAACTCGTCAAGGAAAATAATTAGTTATCATTCTGATTATGCAATTGTTGTATATTTTTAAATTTATTGTATTTAATTCTCTTGATTTAATTTTGTAAATTCTGTATCTATAAATAATGACACACTATTAATGTAAAATATGTAATTAAATCATAACTATACATGTTTTCCTAAACTATTAAATTCAAGTATAAAATAATATTATATATGAATAATTACTATGTTCTTGCCTACCGATACTTGGAAGTTTGATTCCTTCGTCAACTATAGTAAAAATATTGCTGAGTAATATGTGAATTTTTCTCATTAAAAGAAAACACGAGATGTAATCTAAAGGTTGGTTGGTAAGGGTTAATATAAGCAATATTGGATTTTTATGATGAGGCATTTAGTCCTATTTTTAATTTTAAAGGTCATTATTACTTAGTTTCTTTTTGCTGTGGTTACAAATGTACCGATTTGATATCTTAAATTGTTTATGTAGGAGAATCTTAATGGATAAATTTCTGTATTCTATTCTTAAATATCTAATTAGGTTTGATTATCACAATATATTTACAAGTTAAATAAATTTTAAATGGTCTTAAGTAAGATTCACAGAGCATAGTTTACTTAACTCAATAACTAGAAGGATCCGTTATCAAAATCAAATAGATAGAGAGCTGCAATCAAATGAGAATTATTATCTATTAATTAAAAATTTCACTAAAATTAAAATTATCTGATTTTTTTTAGGAGTAATTAAAATGGTCTAATCATAATATTTCAAATAAATATTTTATTTCAATTAAAATGTTCTATTAAAAAAAAAAAAAAAAAAAGGTCACAATCGTAGCTTGCAGATTCCGCTCAAATTAAAATTTGCTTACTAAACATTATACTATAAAAAACTAATATGTTAACTAAATATTAACCAAAACTTTAAAGGCGTCTTTAATAGCAAATAATTGTGATATTTTTAATTTAATTTTATTATTTTTTGTCGAAAAGAAAAAGTATTAATTGCCGCCCCCCCCCCCAAAAACAAAAATAACTTTAAAAAATTAATATACTTGAAATTTTATTCTTTTCTATATTTTTTCTAACCCAAATTGTAATTATATCTACTGCCGCGTTATATTTATTGGAAATTTAATACAACACGCTACAAAAATGAAAATAAAAATGAAATTCTAATTCATAATCTGAAAAGTGAAAAGAAAAATCCCCCACGGCTCACGCCCCGTAGTTGCCCTGCGACCCACAAGCTACGAACACAAATGAATTAGTCAAAAGTCACCCGTCAACGCACAGAATACCATTCAAAACATAGCCGCCATTAATTAACCCTTCTCAAGATCTTGCACCCTTCACACAGATCTCCCCATCTGACCTCCATGTCTCCCTGTTACTCTCTCCCTTTCCTCTTCCTTCTCCTTCTCTCAAACTCCTCACCCTCTTCCGCCCAGAATCCATCTTCCTACTCCTTTTCAGACCCGCCATGGCGTCCCAGCCAGAACAAGAATCTTATCTCCCCAAACTCCGTGTTTGCTGCAGGTTTTCTGCCACTACGCAATTCTAAAGATCTGTATACCTTTTCAATTTGGGTTCACAACATATCAGAAACCACCGAAGTTTGGTCTCTTAACGACGATTCTCCGGTCACCGCCGACGCATCTCTCGACATCACCGCGGGTGGTGAGCTCCGGTTAGTCAACTCTTCAGGTCAAAACTTGTGGCAACCCCCTGCAGCTGCTACAAACTCCACAAAACTTCAGCTGAATGATAATGGGAACCTCGTTTATGGAACTTGGGAGAGCTTTCATCATCCTACACATACTTTCTTGCCTAACCAGACTATGAACGGAACAGAACTGGTCTCAAAGAATGGGAAATTCATGTTCTTGGACTGCCAAGACCTGGTTTTTAACTCATCAAAGTACTGGAGTTCCAGCGACAAGTTTCAGAAGCTGGGAAGTGATGGAAAAGTGGCTCTAGAAAATGGAAAGACAGTGTTATCTGCAGATTATGGATCTGATAATTTGCGATTGCGTAGAGTAACACTTGATGTTGATGGGAATTTTAGAATTTACAGTTTGGATCCAAGTGTTGGCAAATGGGAAGTCGTATGGCGAGCAACGCAAGAGATCTGTAGCATCCATGGAACCTGTGGGCCTAACGCCATCTGCATGAGTGATCCCACCAACGACTCTGTTTCATGCGTTTGTCCACCAGGATTCAAGCGAAGTCCTGCCGACCCCAAGGCCTGTGACAGGAAAATTCAACTCACGAATAACACCAGGTTTGTCAGGCTTGATTATGTTAACTACACCAGCGATAGTTCCAGGCAAAGAGTCATCAATGCCCAAAACTTCACGATTTGCGAGTCTAAGTGCTTAGCAGATCCGAGATGTCTCGGGTTCGGATTCAAGTACGATGGTACTGGCTATTGCGTTCTGCAGCTTGATCAACTATTATTTGGGTACTGGTCTCCCGGTACAGACACTGCAATGTTTTTACGGGTCGACAAATCGGAAACCGATCAGACCACTTTCACAGGCATGACCGAATTGATGGAAACAACTTGTCCTGTTCGAATAAGCCTTCCGATTCCACCCGAAGAATCCAACACCACAACCCGAAACATAGTCATCATATGCATCCTGTTTGCTGCTGAGCTCATCACCGGCGTGGTTTTCTTCTGGGCATTTCTAAAGAGGTACATCAAATACAGAGACATGGCCAGGACGTTGGGTCTTGAATTCTTGCCCGCCGGCGGTCCGAAACGGTTCTCTTACGCAGAGCTCAAAGCGGCAACTAATGATTTCTCGAATCTGATCGGAAGAGGCGGGTTCGGCGATGTTTATAAAGGCGAACTAAGCGACCACCGTGCTGTTGCAGTAAAATGCTTGAAGGACGTTACTGGCGGTGACACAGAGTTCTGGGCTGAGGTCAATATTATTGCCCGTATGCACCATCTCAATCTGGTGAGGCTCTGGGGTTTCTGTGCAGAAAAAGGGCAGAGGATTCTAGTCTACGAGTATGTATCCAATGGCTCCCTCGATAAATACCTTTTCCATGCCCGACGAGATAAACCCAGCAACAAATCTGAAGCAGATACATCGTCGGAGTGGGAAGGGGAGATGGATCCGGTTGAGATCAATAATCCGAAACCAATGCTGGACTGGAGCATCCGATACAGGATTGCGCTCGGGGTGGCGCGAGCCATCGCGTACTTGCACGAAGAATGCTTGGAGTGGGTTTTACATTGCGATATCAAGCCGGAGAACATCTTGTTAGGCGATGATTTCTGCCCCAAGATCTCCGATTTCGGGTTGGCGAAGCTGAAGAAGAAGGAGGATATGGTGAGCATGTCCCGGATCCGGGGCACTCGCGGGTACATGGCACCCGAATGGATCAAGATGGACCCGATTACTCCAAAGGCTGATGTTTACAGTTTCGGGATGGTGTTGCTGGAGATCGTGAGTGGGGTTAGGAACTTCGAGATTCAAAGCTCGTTAATGGATAGCGAGGACTGGTATTTTCCCAGATGGGCATTTGATAAGGTGTTTAAGGAATCGAACGTGGAGGACATTCTGGACCGTCAGATCAAACACTGCTATGATTCACGCGCGCACTTCGATCTGGTGGATCGCATGGTGAAAACCGCCATGTGGTGCCTGCAAGATCGGCCGGAGATGAGACCATCAATGGGGAAGGTTGCGAAGATGCTGGAAGGAACGGTGGAGATCACCGAGCCCAAGAAACCTACTATCTTCTTCTTATCAGACGAGTGAATCTGGTTTTAAAACTTTTTATATTCTCTTGCTTTTCTTAGTCTCTTATTAGTAGTGAGATTTTATGATTGATGAGTTCTCAAATTTAATCAGCTGTACAGGATAAAATAGTTATATGATACCAAAGTCGAAAATTTTCATTTAAATTAAATAAATTAACGTATTAAGAACTGATATAATTATAAAATTAATCTCATTTTGAGTTTCCATTTAGAATATACAATATACAGGATTCATTTGACAACTGGATATTTTTATTTTCTTAATAAAAATTATGATTAAAAAATATGAATTACCAGTAATGATAAGTATTTCAATTTAATAATGTTGAATGTTGGTACATTATTTCTACCTTTGTGACCCTCTTCTTATTTAATTTTATTATTTGATTCTCGGATTAAATGATCATATTGTATGATTTAAACATTCTTATGATGACAAAATAAGTAGGTAAAATTGATAAATAAAATTCTGATCCAAAAATTTTACATGACAAATTTAATTATTAAAGATTTAGTAGATTTGGCTTTTAGGAATTTTAATAATATTAAAAATAAAATCGTTTTAAGGATTTAATGGGTAATTTGTGAAATACGCCAAATTGGCAAAACTTAACAAGTGTCAGCGTTTGATTAGCCAGACATCATCACTTACGCCAATAGCTTTCATCTTAATAAGCTATCACCGCTACTCTCAAACAATCTCAAATACTGAAACCAAAAACCTGACCTGCAAACATTTGGAGCACAGAAAACGAGAAGGGGCAATTACACCGATGACAATGAAAACTCACTCTTCTGTTTTTACCAAATTCAGTAACTTCCCCGTATTCTCACAATTCCTACCACAGGCCTGAAATTTTTGTCTGCAAAGCCATGGCTTTGAGATCTTCTGGTCGAAGGCTCTCCTTCGAGATTCTAAGCAGAAGTAGCAACTTAGAGGAAGAGGAATCGCTATTGCTTTACCGATCACAATCGGATCCAATACCGGGAAAATACGTTGTGGAGTCCCTCGCTTCATCGTCTCGCGAGATGCCGATGGGAAGTAGGAGGAAGAAGAAGCATAAAGGATCGAAGAGAAAGAGGGCGACAGAGTTGTTGAAAATCCCCGAAAATGATGTCCTGACTGAAAACCGTGCAGAGGATCTGAATTCTGTTTCTACCACTGCGAATGATTCGAGAATCGGCGAAAACGTGTTGTATGAGAACAGAAGCAGTTATTGCGGCGGTGGTGGAGGGAGCTTGGTGACTACAGTGGAGGAGGAGAGTGTGTATCAGAATGCGTATAATTTTGGAGAACTGAGACAAAGAAATGTGAATTCCAGTGGCAATGTGAATGTCGAGGATGCTATGTCTGAGTCAAGGTTTGACAACGAGAGTCGAGTGGAGGAGAGCGTTGGGGAGGTTAGCTCCACGGAGAAGGCGCCCCAACTGCCGCAGCAATGGAGAAGTGAGCAGAACGGACATGTGGAAACGAAGCTAGAGACTGCCGGATCTTTGGATTGGAAGCGACTAATGGCCGAGGATCCTAATTGTGAGTATCCATTTAACGGGTGCTTAAAAATATTTCCTTGAATTGCATCTCTAACAATTTTATGGCTATTTGCATTTTCTTTTCTGTTATGTGGAAATTGAATCAATTTCCTATCACAAACTCGACATATTTAGCTTTCGGAGTGCCTCACTTCATTTTAGTAATTCAATTATGAGTGATGTATACATGCCTTCAAATTTAACTAAACCCGTTTGAAGGCTTTTCTTGCTGTCTGAAGCAAGGGAGTTTTGTTTGACTTGCGATTAAGCAAGGGGCTAAATAAGTGAATTCATTTATGAAATTTTAGAGGTGGAGTGCATTAACACGTATTGAAATGAGGGACCTTGATGGTTTTTGTGAAAGCCATACCTCCATGACAATAGAACAGGTAACTCTAATGATCGAAATGGGGAGTTTGATAGTTACTGATGTCTGTTTATCTAGTAGTCCACTTTCCCTCCCTTTTGGGCTATGGGGCCTAATTTTCTTCTTGTGTATGTTTGTTGCTGTCTATTTGTTATCTGTAAAATTTCTTTCTCCTACTGCAGCTCTTTTTCCCTTTGTTGACATTTGATTTTTCTCAGACCTCTTTTCTGAGGAAAAGTCTCCATTGAAATACTTCGTGGAAGAAATGTGCAATGGAAATTCATTAAGGAGCACAACAAATCTAGGCACTGAGAAAGAGAGGGAGAGGGTATATGATACTATCTTCCGATTGCCATGGAGATGCGAAGCGGTAATCTGGTTATCCTTTTATGAACTTAAAGATGAAGGAAATGCAATTTGTTCCAAGCCATGAGTTCTGTGTCATTTACTGAACATAAGTTTCTGTTTATTTATATTCATAAATTATTAGTTACCATTCATATTATTTGGGGCACTCTGCCTTAAATTTTAATTGTATGCTGAAGACAGGAGATCTCCTCCGTTCATATAATTAGGCATCAAATTTTAGATTGTTATGTCTTTTGAAATTAAAGTGAAGGAAGTTACAGAAACTGGGATATTAGCAATGGTTGAGTACTTGCTCAAAGTGAGCTACTTTATAGCAACATAATGTATCTTGGTGAAAGACATTCTCAAATGCAAAACTATCATTGCAGCTTATAGATGTCGGCTTCTTTGTCTGCTTTGATTCATTTCTATCATTGTTAACTATCATGCCAACAAGGCTCGCGGCGACTGTTTGGAGGATTCTTATTAAGAGGTTAGTTATTTTCTTTTAATTTGAACTTTTTGGAAACAAGCCATGCCTGCAGTAAGCCACATGCATACTTACACACATATGTAGAACAAGTATACACGCACACTTGCACTGGCAGACTACTGATTTTCCTGGTTGGTGAAATAGACAACATTTACTAATTTATTTTTATGTTTGAACCATAATTTGCATGTTCCATGACATGCTTGTATCTGTCTGTTCTGACCTTATTAGGATGTATATTTGTTAGGAGAATGATTTTGCAACTTCCTTTAATGTTTCATTCTGGGAGTTGTTAAATAGTTCCATGCTTGAAAGTTTATTCAGAGGCAGAAAGCTGTTAAAAGAAACTTTTCAGTTTGCATAAAAGGTGGAGATTTTGTGATATCCAGCTATAGATTGTGCATGACATTGCACTAGTTCTGCTATTCAAAACAGAAGAAGAAAAAGATTTATTCAACTTCTTTTGCTTATCCTTTGAGGGATCCGATATTTTATTCAAACCATTTGTTTTTAGTGAAGGTGCTGAAACAAAATGTGGTTTCATGGTATGCTTTTGGAGTTTGATTGCTAGAAGGTGCAGGGATAGCACAATTATCATGCATCATTTTATTTTCCCCAAAAAGATTACCACGATCTATGATACTTTCATGTTCTGACAGCAGGTACATGGTAAGCCATAGTCTGGTCAGCTTTGTGGATCTGAAGAAGGCTGCTGCTATTTGATCTTAGTGTCCCAGAGTCGTTCAAATATTATTTGGAATTATTTGAATTTGCATGATATCATATTTAGCACAAGTGCTTCATACTAGCATTAAAGAAGGATACTTTTATCATAGTTCTATGTTCTTTAAGGTTCTGTTTTTTTGGCTATGATTTTCTTTTTTTACTTTCAAGAAAGGACCAATCTAAATTTGTGCATTGTCGGTTAAATTGGATCTACATTTAAACATAAACATTGTGCTCCATCCTCCCTTTCTTATTTGGTGTCAGAATTGGTTTTAAATTGATAGCGGTTAATTGGTTATTATTCTTTGTTGATTCCCTTGTTTGAGAAATCTTAATCTAAATAATTATTGCAAAATAACCTAACCACACTTGTGGCAGGCAGTTCAAGAGGCCTTCTGCAGCAGAGCTGTCTGATTTTGGCTGCTTTCTTGTACTAATCGTTGGGGTCATTCTTTTGGAGCGAACAGGTTAGCTAGGGTGTAGAATTGCCTATATGTTAGGTATTTCAGCTATCATGTATTGCCTAAGGACTCTGTCTGCTAACTTGGAGTAGTAACTTGTCCAGGAGTTTGATGTGTAATACTAATGATTATGTTCTTCCTGTCTACATTTGGTTTTTCCTTTTTGAAAACAAAAATGTTTTTCTTCAGATATCAGCTTAATATATCACATGATTCGAGGTCAAGGGACAATTAAACTCTATGTGGTGTACAATGTGTTGGAGGTAAGAAAATATGCATGGTTAACCTCTCTCTCTCTCCCTCTCTCTTGTGAATTAAGTGTTCTAATTCTTAAACACTTGTGCACATAATTTCTTCTAGCGTGGGTTATTCAGTGCTACAGTATAGATTGATATCACTTTTTCATTGAACTTTCCATCTTAGATTGGGTAAATGTTCATTTATGGACATCAGTTTTGTGCTATCATTTCTCTGTTGGACTGAAATGGGATTGATTTGTGTTAATTTTATCATTTTCTTGATGTTACTGACATAAAGCTTTGCATTACAGATATTTGACAAACTATGCCAAAATTTTTGCGGTGATGTATTGCAAACACTGTTTAATTCTGCTGAAGGAGTTGCCAATTGTTCTCATGAAAAGATGAGATTTTGGATTTGGAGATTCATTTCAGACCAAGCATTGACCATGGCGGCGTCAAATATCCTTATTCTTAGAAATATAGTTGTTTATTTGGTGTGGAAGAATTTATCTTTCCATTTGGTTCCTTGACTTTTGTACTTTTTCATTCTTTTATTTTGTTAGCTCAGGCAATTACGCTATCAACATCTATTATAGCTCACAACAATGCGTTGCTTGCTCTGTTGGTATCCAATAACTTTTCTGAGATAAAAAGCAATGTGTTCAAACGTTTCAGCAAGGATAATATTCACAGTCTGGCTTACGCTGGTTAACTTTCTTCTTTGTTTTTGATCTTTATAAACTGATGTTAAATGCTTGTTCTCTCTGAATAAGATTGGTTCTTATTTATTAAGGGTACGTTCTAGAGTTAAAGAGGAAGAGAAGAGAAAATAAAAGAGGTCTTGGACAACAAGAGAAATGATATTTTTCTTCTCTTGTTTGAATGTTAAAAAATGGAATAGAAAGTAAAGAGAGAGAATATTATTTAAAGTTGTTTAGTTGTTGGGTGAAATAAAGGAAAATGTCTATTTTATAATTTTAGCAGTGTAGTGAGGGTAGCTTAGACTTTTTACTGGGCTAATTTAATTTTATTTTCACTTGACACCAATTTGTAAGAAGTACAGTATTAATATAGGGAGAGAAAGTAGACTGTTAAATTTTAACCATCAATTTCTTTTCTTTCAAAAAATTAAACAGACAAACAAGAGAAAGTAAAATGATTTTCCATTCCCTCCTCTCTATTCTCTATCTATCTCCATCCAAGCATATTCTCTCTCGAGTACTTTCTGCCATAATAGTTACATAAACATGAGTAGGCATGCTAGATTATTTGACTGCATTAATTTCTTAAACTTGAAGATCTGGTTAAGACTTGTAAAGTTTTGTCCTTTCTGTTCACAGTAGTTGAATTTCAAACGATACTTTAGTTTTCCTTCTTAGTGGAAATTTTGAAGCGCAAATTATAGCATATCTATACTTGGATGTACACCTTATAATATGTGTTTTAATTATAATGCTCTCCCATATTTAGCTTAAATTCAACTTAAGGTCAAGAGGGTATGATGTAGAAATCTCATATTTCAAGTTTGTAATTTCTCTTGTGGTGTAATTGAATCTTCTTTTGCCATTATTCACAACAAGATTTGACAGCTTCTGGACATGTGCAGTTTCTTTGTTTTCATTAAATTTTCTTACTGACAATCAAATTCAATATAGACAGATTTATATTTCAGCACTTGTTTCTCTTCTGGTATACATGTATTTTTGCCTTGGTCTCATTAAATTTTTTTTGTGCCACTGTTCACAACCAGATTCAATAGAGAGATTCCACATTTCAGCATTTCTCTTATTCGTTTTAGCTCAAAATCTTCTGGAGGCTGAGGGTCCTTGGTTTGAAAGTTTTCTTTTGGTTAGTTCACCTGAAATTGTTAGTGCACTCTGCTTTTGACAGGAAAAATAATTGGAACACTTTATTTGGTTTGCTTATACTTCTTAATTGAACAATGCAGAATGCTCTTATGGTTTTCGTTTGTGAAATGTTAATCGATATCATTAAACATTCGTTCCTTGCCAAATTCAATGGCATCAAGCCCATTGCATACTCTGAGTTTCTAGAAGAGCTTTGCAAACAGGTATTATCTTCTTTTTGGCAGCCATCTTCAGGGTTTTAACCCTTAAATTGGCTTTCCATCAGAGTTCTTGTTTATTTTTCTAGCTGTTCATTATTGGTTTCTCCTTTTAACATGTTGAAATTGAACCTTTAATGTTTATATTATTCTTTCTTGTATATGATGTTTTATTTTCTTTCTGAAACCTAATTTCTTTTTTTGATCTTGTCCTTAGACTTTGAATATTCAATCTGAAGCCGAGAAGAGTCTGACTTTTGTTCCTCTGGCACCAGCTTGTGTGGTATGCACCTATTGTAGTACTTGTGGTTGCTGTTCACATAGTTTTCTATTGTTTTATTCCTGCTGATATAGGGAATTCCTATTTATTTAAATGAGAAGGGCTCTCCCAGCCCAAGGGTTAGATCATTGGTGAGGGGCTTCGATAAGAGCCTTAGCTGATTTTGGAGCTGGGCCTTAATAGTGCCTTGGGAAGTCTGGTAGCTGTCCCATGCATATGGAAGAGAGGGGCTCCATGTCCATGGGGCTGGTCAGTAAGCTCAGTTTACTATTCTTTCTCCCTCTCTCTCTTTCTTAAGAATCTCAGATGCTTATCTAAGAAATAAAAGAGAGATTAAGGGGAAAAAAAAAAAAAGACTGTCCAAAAAGTGGGGCAACAACAGTCCAGCAATGCTCTTCTATGTTTAGAACATAATAATGTAGTTGCCGAAGGGTAACGAAATTTCAAATGGATTCTAAATTTGGAGGGAGTTTAAGCTGTCTTTTCAGTGTTGAGGATATTCACCCTATATTTGGGAGTTTAGAGGAAAAGGAAAGGGGAAAGAATGTGAATTTTTTTTCCCAAGAAGAAACGAGAAACATAAAACAGTGAGATAATTAATAGTCTTACTCATAACCGTGTATCGATTTTGAAGGGGGAGCAGAAACAGAAATACCGTGTTATCATTTATTGGTAAACAAAAATCCTATAGGTTTGTTTGGTCCAATACTTTATCACTATTGTGTTTTATACATAGAGCTGGATTATAACTGATGTTTGAATCAATGCCATTTGCACTAAATTTTTTGGATAGTTGAATTGACTCAAATGTCAAATTTATGATATAATTATGTAATCTCAAGGATAGATTGGTAATTAAGTAAAAGAATAGTATAGACATTTAACCAAAGTAAAACTTGAGGTTTAGTGATGTAGAATGAATCAGCTCAAGATTGTCAAAATAGATTATAAATCATATTTCTATTAAATGTAAAATTGCTAAAGTACTTAGAAGTCTATTATTATAGTTTTTAGTAATTTTAGGATTTTATTCTTATCAATATTTATTTTTCATATTTGTATTAATAAGATTATTTCCTAACCTTATCAGCATTAGTATTACCTACTTTCATGGGAGTAATATTTCTAATTTTATGAATTTTAATATTTTTTAGTCTAATCATATTCAAGAAAGACTTAACACTCTGTAAGTTTATGTAATCTCTGTAAGATCATTATTCAATTATTAAATAAAAAACTTTAATAATTTTTAATTTTTTTATTTTGTGGTAATCAAATCTAAATGTGATAACTAAGACTTATTAAATATGATATTTAAGAAACCTTAAGTGTGATGTCTAAGCTTTTATTCCTAAATCCTTAAGTAGGCAAATTAATTTTAGTTTGTTATTGTAGAAAATCATGAAAGGGTAGTTTAGTAATTTTGTGTGAATTTGTTGTGGACAGGTGGGAATGCCTGCTACCATAATATTCCTTTTTTCTTCATTCTGTTAGGATATTTTTCGGGTGCCAGGTGCCTATATAATGACACCCTCCTTATTCTGTAATGCAAGGAAAATCAGAGAAGGAATTCTTCTTTTCTCGAAAATCTTCATCTTCATTCCCTAAAATCTTCATGGTAACAGAGCGTCTCTGATCCAGAAGCTTCAATCCGACTGAGCTAAATCCTTAGATGGCTACGGATGAGCAAAATTCCTCTCAACCTGTAATACTCTCGGGTGCTTATCTACCTACACCCATCAACATCGGACTGGTGGAACAGTCTTCATCGTTCATCATTAGTCACAAATTTAACGACAATAACTATCTGCAATGGTCTTCATTAGTGCTGCTGTTCATATGAGGAAAAAGACGTGACGAATACTTGACTGGCGAAATTACACCGCCACCAGCACACGACCAAAATGCGCGAGCCTGGAAGATTGAAAATAGCATGGTCATGTCGTGGCTAGTAAACTCCATGATTCCTGAGATTGGAGAGAACTTGTTACTCTACGAGATTGCGTACAAAGTCTGGGAAGCTGCTCGAGAGTTCTACTCTAGTCAGGATAACACATCGATCATCTTCGAGATTGAATCCGCCCTCCATGAGCTGCAACAATGTGAGATATATGTTGCTCAATATTATAATTCTCTCACTTGTAATTGGTAGCAGCTTGATGTCTTCGAAGAACACAAATGGAGCTGTTCCGAAGATGTAAAGAAGTTCAAAACGATTGTTGATCAGAAGAGGATATTCAAGTTTCTAATGGGGCTGAACAAAATTCTGGATGACGTAAGAGGATGAGTGTTAGGCATAAAGCCCTTGCTGAGCATTCGAGAAGTTTTTTCTGAGATCTGCCGTGGGGAGAGCCGGAAAAAGGTGATGATGGGAGAAACCCAACTTGCTCAACTGAGTGAGAACGCCCCGGCACTCACCACCCAGGTCACGGATTTTCGAGGAAAGAAAGGACGGCCATGGTGTGAATTTTCCAAAAAACCAGGCCATCTTTGTAAGAAATGTTGGAAGCTTCATAGAAAATCGGGAGAGAAGAAGCCCATCAGACCATAAATTCATCACGGAAATCTAACAATCTTGGATGATACATCAAACACTTAACCCGACAGCGCTCCCTTTAGTCCAGAACAGATGGAGGCCCTCCTAAAGATGTTTTCACTAAAGAGTCTTCTCGGTAATGCTTGAATTGCACAAAAAGGTAATTCCCTACTTAGTTTATCTGCCTATTCCAAAAAAGGCAAATGTGAATTGTGGATTCAGGAGCATCTGATCATATGACAGGAGATTGTTCACTACTTCACCGATACAGTGAGTGTAAGGAGGTATTTTCTATAAAAAATGTTGATGGAACAAGTTTTAGAATGATAAGAATTGGCTCAACTGATATATCACCATGTTTGACACTACATTAAGTTCTCTATGTACCCAATTTGGATTGCAATCTGTTATCTGTGAGCAAATTATCTACGGACCTGAACTGTGTTGTTAAGTTTGAGACTGATCTTTGTGTATTTCAGGACTTGGCCTCGGGGAAGACGATTGACAGTGTTAGGTTGGAGTCAGGACTATATCTTCAACCAGTTGAAACATCTCTTTCAAATGGACAAACTTCAAATGCAATATGTGCTAATTCAGTTTCTGTAGGATGTTCAAATGATGACCACTCTATCATGTTATGGCATTACTGATTAGGACACTCAAATTTTTTGTATTTGAAACAACTATTTCCTGTTTTGTTCAGAAATAAAAGTCTACTTTCATTTTAGTGTGAAGTATGTCAATTCTCTAAACATATTCGAAATTTCTTTCCACATTTGGTATATAAATCTTCAAAGTCTTTTGCATTAATTCATAGTGATGTATGGGGACCATCACGTGTAAGTAACATTATTGGTACAAAATGGTTTGTATCTTTCATTGATGATCATACTAGAATTACTTGGGTCTTCTTTATGAAAGAAAAATCTGAAGTGAACCAAATATTCAGAAATTCAACACTATGATTCAAAATCAATTTCACACCGCAATCCAAGCGTTAAAATCAGACAATATGTGCGAATATTTTGAATCCACCCTGGGAAAATACCTTACTGATGAAGGCATTATCCACTAAAGTTCATGTGTTTACATCCCACAGTAAAGTGGTATAGCCGAAAGAAAAAATATCCTTAAAGTTGCTCGATTACTTATGTTTACTACATATGTTCCTAAATATCCCCATATGTTCCTAAATATCTTTGGGGAGAGGCTATCTTTACCGCCACCTACTTGATCAATAGGATACCTTCCCATATATTCAAATTTAAAACACACTACGAAACTCTACATATGTTTCCAAATATTTTTGGGGAGAGGTTATCCTCACCACCACCTACTTGATCAATAGGATGCGTTCCTGTATACTCAAACTTAAAACACACTACGAAACTCTCCTTCAAGTCTTTTCCTAAATCTCACATTCTAAACACAATTCCGTTTAAAGTTTTTGACTGCTCTACTTATGTTCACATTCTAAACACTCTACGAGCCTGCGCACGAAGTTTGGGAAGCTGTCCGAGAGTTCTACTCCAGTCGGGATAACATGTCGGTCATTTTCGAGATTGAATCCACTCTCCATGAGCTGCGACAAGGTGAGATGTCTGTTAGCCAATATTATAATTCTCTCACTCTTTGAGATGTCTGTTCACATCCATGCTCATCTTAGAAGGAAACTAGATTCAAAAACCCTTAAATGTGTATTTGTTGGATACTCATCAAATCAGAAAGGATACAAATATTTTTTCTCAGGTACCCGTTGATTTTACAATACTATGTATGTAGCATTTTTTGAAAACCAATCATTTTATCTCATTCTTGATATTCAGGGGAAGAATTTCACTCAGGAATATCAATTGTGAGATGCGAACACACATCTTCTACATATTTCTTTGACAAATACACCTTCTCCAACAAGTGAACCGGTCTCTGAATATCAATTGTGAGATGTGAACACACATCTTCTACATATTTCTTTGACAAATACACCTTCTCCAACAAGTGAACCGGTCCCTGAAACTATAAAAGAGTTTGAACTTGTCACAAAAACTGATAGCACATTACTTGCAAAGAGTGAGTTACGTGTCTACATTAGGAGGAATAAAACTCAAGATGGTAAAGTATCTGAACCAACTACGCATTGTCATAAATCAACTCCTGAACTAAGCACTCAGAATACAACAGGTAATGAAATTTCTTACTCATCGACTGATATTGATATGGAGTCAAATGCTAAGGTAGGTCTCAAAACTGATAGTAAACCTGTTGATACGTGTCTACATTAGGAGGAATAATATTCAAGATGGTAAAGTATCTGAACCAATTACGCATTGTCATGAATCAACTCCTGAACTAAGCACTCAGAATACAACAGGTAATGAAATTTCTTACTCAGAATACAACAAGTAATGAAATTTCTTACTCATCGACTGATATTGATATGGAGTCAAATGCTAAGGTAGGTCTCAAAACTGATAGTAAACCTGTTGATAGAGAAAGGTATCAAAGGCTTATAGACAAGTTTATCTACTTAGCTCACAGAAGACCTGACATCAGTTTTGCAGTGAGTACTGTGAGCCAATTCATGTCTCAACCTATTGAAGAACACATGAGTGCCGTATATCGAATTCTGAGATACCTAAAAATGACACCAGAATAAGGATTATTCTTTTAAAAAATAATGAACAGGGACATTGAAATCTTTACCGATGCAGATTGGGCAGGATCAATAATTGATAGGAGATCTATATCTGGTTATTGTACATATGTGTGGGGCAATCTAGTCACTTGGCGTAGTAAAAAACAATCTGGTGTGTATCAAGAAGCAATACTGAAGCTGAATTATGATCACTTGTTCATGAGAATGTGAAGGAGTGTGGCTGAAAAAGATACTACTTGAACTAAGATTCTCAGTTTCTACTCCTATGAAACTCTGGTGTGATAATCAATCAGCTATTAGCATGACAAAAAATCCTGTGTACTATGATAGAAATAAGTATATTGAGATTGATCGACACTTCATTAGGGAGAAAATTGAAGACTTGGCCATAACACTAATTTATGTTCCAATCAGTCAACAAATTGCAGACATACTCACAAAAGCACTATCAGAAGAGGCGTTTAATAATATTGTATGTAATTTAGTATTACTCAATATCTATGTATCCTAAATTGAGGGGGAGTATAGAAAATCATGAAATGGTAGTTTAATAATTTTGTGTGAATTTGTTGTGAACAGGTGGGGATGCCTGCTACCACAATATTTTTTTTTTCTTCATTCTGTTAGGATATTTTTCTGGTGTCAGGTGCCTATATAATGACACCCTCTTTATTCTGTAATGCAAGGAAAATCAGAGAAGGAATTCTTCTCCTTTCGAAAATCTTCATCTTCCTTCTCTAAAATCTTCAGTTATCAGTTTATGGTCACCAATGGGGGGTGACCTACACATCTTCTACATCGACTCAGATTTGCACACACCAGATGCCCTGCCACAAAACTCCACTAGAAAATGCACCACTCCTGGTGCAAATCCTCCAGCAACTGCCTCCCTTGATCCCCTATTTTTGTGCAGCCATGTCTGACACCTCTACCATATCTGTAATCATCATAGCAAGTTGATCCTATTGTTAGAAACTTGCTGCCGTCTGGTGACTGGAACCAGACGCGTGGACCCCACGCATGCTCAACCCCGAGGGGGCACTGCAAAGTTGTGTTGTGTTTTAATTTGTTTTAACTGAGTTTGACCAAAATGATTCACATAGAATGACTTCTCAGATCGGTTTTCAGCACTTTCAACACTATTCCTAGGTACTTTTGTCTGCTATTCTCATATTTTGCTTCGTCTTCATTGGAAATTAGTGTGATTGAAGAATTTTAAACATGTGAAATTGTAAGGAACATAGCTAAGTCCTTGTAGATGATAGAATTGACAAACCTTTCTTGATTGTTACTAAATACAACCATGCAGTTAAAGTGAAGATGGAGGCATTCTCCAATTTCTCAAACTCTAACCTGTTGTGAAAATAGAAAGTTAGAAACTTGTTATTCATGAGGATTATTGCAAGAATATTTTTTCACTTTCTGCAGTTAAACAATCTTTCAATGCAACCGTATATGCAACTATACCTACTAGTTCAGAAAGATAAACTACATATCTATATAGCTCAGAGAAGTCTTGTTTCTGTTCGTTATGGTTAATTGGTTAAACCTTCTGTGATGTAGTTTCTTATAATGTTCACACATATTCTTCTTAGTCAACCTTGATTTTATGATTGACATGTCTGGCATGATGAGACTACCAATGCTTAAACCTATGATCACCAAAGATAAAATAAATATAGACGTCCAACAACATATGCTGTCAATGAAAGGATAAAGAGAAAGGTCTTGTTGAGGAAGAAAAAAGAACTGTCGTGTCTTTTTGAGAGTAAAGATGTTGAAGTTAGTAAACAGCTTTCACTTCCTAAAGAGAGTTTTATGAAAGCTCAATGCAATAAGGAACTTAAGCAAATAATTAGCTCTAGTGATATTCAACTTAAGGATAAAGTTGAAGCGCAAATTGGTCCATATATTGATTGCATCCTACCTTCAAGGTTTCACTCCCTTAAAAATAATTATGTATTTGCATTATGTTTGCTATCGAAGAGAATAACCAAACATAGAGTTTGTTACAATTTCACGAGGAAGCTTGAAGATCAATGTTTTACATGATTCACTGGCTTAAAACTCGTGGATAAGTTTCCGGACAAGGGAGAATGATGCAGCATTAATTAACTCAAGATTGCGTTTATAGGTTAGGAATTATAGTTCTATTATAGATAAAACTATTATATTATTTAAGAGTCTATTATGATAGCTGTAGTAATTTTAAGATTTTATTTGTAGTGGTATATAGTTTTCCTATCTAATAGTATTGTTTTCTAAGCGTATTAGTATTAGTACTTCCCATTTTAGTAGGAGTAATATTTCTAATCTTATGAATTACATTTTACAATCTAACCCTATTTAGAAAAAACCTAACATTCTTATAAATATCTTTAGTAATCTTCTTGATATCATCATTCAATTATTCAATGAAGGGAATTTTTCGCTTTTCTAATTATGTGATAAAATCAATTAACAGTTGTGATGCTTAAGACCTTTTAATGTGATATCTAAAAAGCCGTAAGTATGATAGTATAGGTTTTTGTCCCTATATCCTTAAATAAGTAAATTAATTTTAGTTTATCCTACATCAAAGTATGTTTTCGATGGGCCATCAAATCTCAATTTATGGGAATTGAAAAGGTGGGAATGTAAAGGAGAACAAGGAAGTAAGTGTGGTTTTCATTGATGCTCTTAAAAATTCTTCAAGCGAAGGAGTAGAGGGTAGCCCCAAGACATGTCAATTTACTTCCATGAGACATGTGTGTCTCTTTTTGCTGAAGTTGGATTAAAAATGTTAAAAACTTATCCTTTGACAATTTGAACTGCTTTTTCTTGACTTTTATTATTCCCTGTCCTAAATTTTGGTCTAATATAGTATTTTTGGGGGGTTTCAGGTTATTCGGGTGCTCACTCCTGTATTTGCGGCTCATTTGCCTTGTAATCCCCTTCCGTGGAGGATCTTCTGGATTCTCCTTTTGTCTGCCATGACTTATATTATGCTGACAAGCCTAAAAGTTTTGATTGGTATGGGCCTACAGAAGCATGCCACTTGGTATGTGAATAGGTGCCGGAAGAGGAACTACCATCTTCACTTTGATTAATTTAAACAAGAATTGTACAATCTCATTAGAAGCATCTGGCTCTTTCAAGTGCTGCTTACTTTTTCACATACGTATACCTGGTGTAAAGAAATAAGACCTCAATTAAAGCAACAAATATCTATATGGATTGAGGTATGTGAACAACCAGCAACAGATCTCTAATGGATTGAGGTCTCTGAGCAACAAGGCATGATATCAAGAACAGATTTCAACTTCCATGCAGCAAACTGTTTAGTATTTGAGAAATTGAGTTTCATAGAGGTCTACCCGCAATTTTGTCATAGGATTGATTGCTGATTTCAGAACATGACTTCATACACAGAGAATCAGAGATTACCAAGCTCCGCCAATTACTTTGAAATTTATTTATGGGGGTGCTTCCTTCATAGATATACCCTTTGAGTATTTTTCTAAAAAAAAAAAATGAAGACAAACAATTAGAGAAAATGTAAATTTATACTCTTGCATAATTGCTGCTAATTTAATTTATTTCAACTGATTTCTTTTTGCAGGGAGTAACCTTTTATTTTCTTATCATTAGGCCTTGAGAAGTAATTATTTAGCAAATAAAAAAAAAATAAGGTTTTTAAAAGTATTTTACTCAATTTGTTTCATGATTCACAATAACTTCGGCAATTTGGTAATTTGGTGGACGCCATAAGCAGCTCGGACATAAGATCTGAACTTGTAGAAAACCTCGGTATAGAATATGAAAGCCTTTTGCTAGATTAATGCATTAATAATTAACTATTTCAGCTGCTTGAGCTAGAAATTCTTGCATTGGAGTCATTTAGTTGAAAAGTCAGGGAAAGTAACAATAGATGATCCAAGATCAGTGAATGGAGCAATTAGTAAAGATTATTATAAGTAATAAACTTAACTAGTATAGGTTTATTATAATTAGTTAGTTAGTTTCTTAATTTTTCAAATGTCCAAATACTTGTTTATATGCCTATGTTTCCGAAAGAAAAATCTGTTTCAGTTACAATTTTTTTAAATCAGATTATCAATATCTGATAAACAGATTATTTATATCTCATTACAACTTACATATATCACTTTTTAAATATTCAAAATTAATTATTTATTCAATTAGATGTAATGTAAAGTTGAGAAATTATATTAAAAAAAAAAAAAAAAAGTTAGTGGGGATTTTTGACAAATAAATTAGAGAAATTCTTATGCAATATCTTGTACTGAATCGTACCGACAAAATTATTCTATATAATTGTTTGATTTTCTTTATTTTCTTTTTCCTTTGTAAAACCGTATAATTAAAATTGAAATAATGGGTTAGAAAACTTGAGATGATTAAGGAGAGTCAAATCTTTTTTAAATTAAATTAATTTCTTTTGAGAGAGAAAAGTCAAATTTTAATAAAAGATAATTAACAAAATAATAGGAAGATATATATCTTGTCAATAATTGAAATTTTTTTCTTTATCCGTCGAAGGCCAATACTTCTGGTAAGCAATCATTTCTATCTTTCAACTTTTTTTTTTTTTTTCTTTTTCTTTTTAATTTCTTCCTTGTAATTAGATTTTATTACAAACTTTAAACATAAAAAATTTCAAAGTAAATAAGGGGGGTTTCATTAATCTCAATACACTTTCCCATTCAGTCTTAGAAGACAGCTTGTCCTTGTTATTTTTATATCATAATTATATATATACCCACACACACACACACATATATTTATACTTGTACATCTATATGCTACTGCCAATTGACATTTTTACCGCCTTAATTTGGGTACATGACTAACCATTTTCATTAACAAAATTGGAGAAATTTGAGGTGAAACAAAATGTTGAATCTCTATCCCTTTTCCATTTAAAACATTACTAATAATTAACTTAATTTTTTTTTTTTTTACAGTATATTTCATTTAAAGCTATTCAAGTATTAAGTCCACTCTACTTTTAATTTAATATTTTCCGTCCATTAATTTCTTAGTATTTATTTTTTTATGACGTCATTAATATTCTATAATAAGTATATACGTATTGGTGTATTGCTGGATTTATCTTTCGAGCTCTGCCAATAATTAAGGCTTATCGACCCGTAATTTAAATTGTAATTTTCCTAAAATTTAGAGAAGTTATTAAAAAATTAGAAGTAAATATTAGAAAGAAAATCAATTATTTATTCTCCTAAAAAATTATTTAAGAAACAAAATCACCAGTCAATATAAAATTACAAAAAGGAAATAAGAATTTTTATATCGTCACAGAAATTTGATTTAACTCCGTGGGTTGCATGTGATAATTCTCTCATTCCCGTTTTATCCATCACCAACTCCAAAATTACTATTTTACCATTACCCAAAAGAAGAAATTAAATTAAAAGAAATTAACAAACGACAATAAATGGAAGCCGTTGGATTGATTTTAGTATCAACGGTGAAGATGCGGAATACGTTCCCGCCTTGAGTAGGCCACTCTGCTCTGTTAGGAGTGATTACTGATTATTGAGAAAGATTTCCTTTTCTATTTTCCTTTTTTAATTGAATAATAATTGTTTTATATTCTACCTTCTTAATCTCAAATTATTTCCATTTCACTCTCTGCTGCTCTTCCTTCTCTTCTCCTTTTTTTCGCTTTCGTCTGCGCAAAACCCTGTTTCTCGATTTTTAGTTTTGATCATTCGTCAGTCAAAGCAATCCAATTCCTGCACCGGACAAATGGTAAACAATTCTTTCCTTCCCTTCTTTCATGTCGATTCGGTTCAATCCAATTCAATTAGATTCAGTTGTTTTAACTATTATTGTTTAGGTCGTCAAAATTGAAAAAATTCTCATGAATTGATTAAATTATGTATTATAATCAAAATTTGTATGGGCTCGAGTCTTTTGGGGTAAGTTTTTGATGTTTCGGAATTGTTTGTTGTATTGTCTGTGCAGGCTGGGTGCAGGATTTTGATAAAGAAGAAGAAACCAGATTGGCTTACTACACTACTGCGCACCAATTTCTTTGACTCGTGTATTGATCACCAGGACCTGAGAAAAAATGAAAAGAATGTTTTCTGCATCGACTGCAATATCGGACTTTGCCGTCACTGTTTGACGGCTCACTGCCTCCACCAGCGCCTTCAGATCTGCAAATATGTTTATCAAGATGTTGTTCGCATTCAAGATATGCAGAAGTACCTTGATTGCTCTAAAATTCAGGTTTGCGCTATTCCCTAATTCTTAATTACAGGACTGTTGTTGTTTTCTTTATTATTGGAATTGAATTGGAAAGTTTGATTGTTGAGTAAAAGTTCGAATTATTGTTTTGTAATACAAGTAGTTATTGATGATAAATTTCTGTTTTTTATGTGTATATGCGTGTGTATGCAATCAAGTTTCTTATCTCATCACAGATTGAATAAGGAACATGAATAATTTCAAATTTTGGTGTACAAATTTTGTTGATTGTTTATTAAATTCTTAGGTTTGATGGCTGATTCAGTCTCAGTTAAGTTTACTGCTATGTGCTACTGAGAGTCAAGAACCTTAATTCTGAGATTAGATTTATGCTTAGAGTTTGTTGTGAAGTTTCTGATAAAAAGAAATTGTGCTTTTGTCAGACATATAAAATCAATGGTGAAAAAGCAGTGCATTTGAATCCACGGCCTCAGTTTAAAGATTCAAAGCCATCAACCAAATCCAAGACTGGTGGTTCCTGTGAAGCATGTAGAAGATACATACAAGACCTGCCTAATCGCTTCTGCTCCATTGCATGCAAGGTAATCAACATAAACTACCCTACTTGGATGTTCTTCAAAACTTGGTAGAATCATATATGATTTGACGATACATATAATTTTATATAATTCTAAACATTTGCAGGTGTCAGTTTTGCCAGTGAAGCCTATAGATGAAAGCAAGAAGATGATATTTTCAATAAAGGAGCTTCCTGATGTTTCCTGGAAAGAAAACTACAACCACCCAGAAGCTAGTACAGAGGAAAAGGTATCTTCACTATCTACAATAGATTTCTCTGATGAATCTGATCAAGCCTGGATGAGCTCTGTTTTGAAACCCAGAAGGCAAATACACAAGAGAAAAGGCATTCCTCGTAGGTCTCCTCTCTGTTAAATGCCAAAACACCAACTAAAGTTCCTTTCTCTTTCTCAAAATTTTTTGGGTACATCTTCTTACAATTTGGATTATATTAAGTTTATTCAGGGAAAAATACAATAATCACCAAAAAAATCGACAATAATCTATAAATTGAAAAAATTGATTGATGAAGAAAAAGTCTAGTCCTCAATAGCCTCTGGTTTTGGTCTTTTATATAATATATGGGTTAGTTGAGGATAAACCCCACAAATGTTTTGAGAGAAAATAATATCAGGTGGAGGTTGTACAGCAAGAAAGAGATGGCGAGTGTATGGTGATATCGAAAACTTTTTGTATGTATCTTTATTATGATTTTTTTATATATATATAAATTTTATTGTGGGTTTTTTCCCTTTCGGTGGAAATTTGCAGCTCCATTGTCAAATTGGATATTCGTTTATTCAACAAAAGCTTTTCTCTGTTTGTGATTTGATGATTCTCTGGGTCTGGGGTCTTACTGTTTTTTGATGGGAATGTTTCTCACAGCGTTGGCATGAGTGATTGCCTTACTCCCTTTTTTCTATTCTGTTGGGGCCGCCATCTATTGAGAGCTTTGTCGCTATCTCTGTCGGATCAGTTAATGTTGACATATATTCATATATTTATATGTCATATGATGCATTATAATACCTACTTGAGTTTAATGGAGTCATCAAATTATTTATTTCTTTATAATAAAATTTCAAATCAACTGATTTTCACTTCAATTTTTTAATCTTAAATTTCAATATAACTTTCGCCCAATATAGTAATATAATATAAGTATGATGTGGTGGTGATGGTTAGTTGTGTGATTAGGGCCCTCAGTGGGTTATATTACGGGAAAAATAGCTTCTTTAATTCTGAAAAATCGAAGGTGGCAGACAAAAGAAGCCGCAAAAAGAGTTTTGCAGGTGAATGTGGATGTGCGAGGATCAACTGGCGAAGTTAAATAGCTGATTTTTTGTGCATGTTGCACATGGCTGACCAAACCTTTTTTTTTTTTTATTTAAAAAAAAAAAAAAAGTTGCCCATAATTCTCTCTACCATACTCCTAGAATGTTTAAATTTACATTATAGGAATTAAAAATTAAAGAAACTTTGGAGAGTGTATATAGATTAATATATATATATATATATACAGGCATTATAGTAATTAAAAATTAAGAAAATTTGGAATTGGATCTTCCAAGTCCAAAAAAGGAATTGGATCTTGTCTACACTTAAAAACTGGGACTGTTGTGATACGCACTGATCAAATGGATCTCCAAATTAAAAAATGTAAACACATATATAATTATTTGACAATAATTAGTGTATGAATAAAGGCGTATTAGCAGATTAAAGGCGTAGAATAGGAAAGTTGAAAAAGCAGTTCAAAGTAATGGCCGCTGTTGTTTACAATTTCAAAGTTGACATCCCAACAAAACTCCACCAATTGCTCTCATAGTTCTTGTCCTTATGCGGCCTGATTTTTCTTGAAAAAAGAAATTCTGAATATAACCCATTTTATTCTTTTTTATGAAAACTCAATGTTTTATTTGTTTTTTTTTTTTGCTATGTTTAGTTTATATATGTTTTTGTATTTGGATTTTTTTTTCTTCTTTATTCTAATTATTTAAAACTGTCAATCTCCTATGGTCTTTATTATATTTTAACTATTATTTACATAAGTCAGTGATTACAATAAATGGGTCGACATAATATATACTATGTGATAATTAAAATAAGAATATTATTGATATATCTTACTCATTAATACAGCTCTTTTGCTCCCAATAATATTTATTATCAATAAACATAACAGCGTTATTATGATCATTAATAACGTTTTATAAATCTGTTCATACTTGATAAATTGAAAATAATTGGAAACTCAAATCTCAAATCTCAAATCTC